TGTTATATTGGATGTCAGTCATTCGATTAATCTCTGAAAGTTATTCACGACGAAAAGAATTCTAATAATGTTTGTGTTTTACGCGGAGGGTGATAATTAAAATCAAAATTACTTCAGTAGTGTTTAAATTGTGTGGTATATAATCGCCTATAACGTAATTAACGAATTCTGCGTTACATGTGCTCAAGTACTGTTTGAAAACTGGCGAAATCTTGGCTTGGGGGTTTATCTTTAATTACATGTATATTGAGCACAACCTTGGAAATTATAAATAAATCCATCACGTGACCTAATAATTTTCAGTTCAAAGTGATACTTTGCTTTGTCTGTGTCTTCATGTTGAATTTTATTTCTATTTTAATTCTTTTACGACTGCAATTTTCCCAAAGCCTCTCGCATCTTATAACAGCCCCTTTTTTCAATTTTACGACCCTCATATTTATATCTGTGACTTATCCTCTGCAGAATACTATAACGGAGACTTAATGTGTACGAATCCCTCCACTTAACGTAGGTGCAGGTTGTGATTAGAATATATATATATAGAAACAAATATTAAATGATTAACGGCGTACAGACATGTAAACAAAATGTAAACAGCAATTCTTATCACTCGTGAAAACAAAACACATGCAATTTTTTTAGCAGGCGGAACGTAAATTACATAATATTAAACTATAATCCATATGTTTATAATTTACGTACGTGTGTAGTTATAAATAAAAAATAAAAAATGAAATATAAGTACAGTAGTCCGTATTATCTGACATTATAAATTTTATCCGACGTGCGTAATTGAAAAAAATCAGGAGTAAAGTTGTAAATATAATTTATATACACCTTGTAGTACGTTTGTAGCAACTGAATACATAAAATGTAGGAGGTGCGTGATGGTCTTGGGGGGGGGGGGGGGATACACAGGTCCAAAGTATAAAATATAAGTACAGTAGTCCGTATTATCTGACATTATAAATTTTATCCGACGTGCGTAATTGAAAAAAATCAGGAGTAAAGTTGTAAATATAATTTATATACACCTTGTAGTACGTTTGTAGCAACTGAATACATAAAATGTAGGAGGTGCGTGATGGTCTTGGGGGGGGGGGTGGATACACAGGTCCAAAGACGTTTCAGAGCAGCTGTCACACATAAGACGTACGTATGTCAAGTGTTTGAAACATATTTGTTATGTCACTCTTGCATGAAAGGAAGTGCTGCTGTTTGTAATGGTGTTGTAGAAATGCGGGCAGCCACCATGTTGTAACACGTGTTTGCAATCATTCCTGGGTAGAAGAAAAGAGCCCCCCATCCCACCACTTCGGTTTTATCCTCTTACATTTCTGCAATCCACAAAACCAGCAGCTATAAAGATGATGGTCTTCTGCAGGCAGAGAGATTTTATATCGAAAATGTTCTGGGCCCACAAAGATAGTCTTTGGGGGGGGGGGGGAACCCCCTTCGCTATACTTAAAGATTGTTCTCCTGACACGTGATACTGAAGTGTTCTTTGTTTAAATATAAATTTTGTGTTAATGAAGAACGTAAGTTAAAATAATTTAAAACAGCTAGAAGCTAGTTTCCCATAAATTGTAAATGTTGCACTTCGAGAATAATCGATTATTTTTTAAATCGGATATTTTTTATAGCCCAATACTATTCATCCGTAATATAACATGCTTTTCTTCAGTCACTCAAAATCTCCAGAGTTTAAAATTCATAATAAAATTATCTAAGTAGTTTATTTATTAATGGAGGCCTAGTCTTTTTTAACGATATTTTAACAAGATTTGATTTAATCAGTTATTTGACAATTTTAAAAAGTTATAAATCCATGAAACGATTCTGTGTCTATTTGAACGTCTCTGATATTTGTATGAAATACCGTATTTACTGATATTTCTAACACAAAAGACCCGCTCAATGGTTTCGTCGTTTATTACCAAGATCAAGTCATTGACATTCTACATTCAGGAATATTAGTCGATGTTGAAATTGAGGAAACAGTCAATTTCCTTCTGACCAAATCAGCTCTGAGTGAAGGACGGATTAATTGAACAAAGGGAAAGGCAGAGTGGATCGACCTTTGTGCCTGTTTTGCTATAACAGGCTTTTGAGTAGCGGAAGGTAAAATGGAATTAGGGCAAAAAGAATAGGTTTCAAGAACTGGAG